GAGAATTTGTATGTTGATGCACAATTTATCATACTATTGTGTATACATCTACATGTGTATTTGTCTTAATGTGGCACGAGAATGTTTTATGTCGCTCTTCGCACTTCGTACTTCGTTTATTTTCAATCAAATAAAGATTCTTCTGCTTGTTCAATCGTCTGTAATACGTGACAACTCGATAAAAATAAATTTGTCAAGTAAAAAGTAAAATCTGTTTTACGGATAAGTAAAAGCAATGCTGAATTCATTATTCATTCTTTGAAAATAATAATCATGATCTTGACCTTACTAATTAGTGTAAATCAATTAGTTGCTTTGCGAAACTTCATTGTGGCTGCACCAAGTTGATTATCGCACGAATGATTTTACCAAAATATCTATAATTTTAGCTAAATAGATCTGAAAATCATTTTATTGGATTATTAAAATGATTTTGTTGGAAATTGAAGTATATTAAAGCAATACTGTAAAAAGTTTTAATATTCTAGCAACTAGTTTGAGCGTCCTATATAATTATTTTAATAGTTCAATCAAACTATGTTCAGATCTAATTAAATGTTTAGATATTTAAGTAAAACCATTCTTCTTTCTCTATATTTTATTTTTTATTGCAAAAAGTTAAATATATAGCAATTTGCAGATTATTACTTTATTACCATTTGACTTACTATTTTACGTACTGTAAAAAGTCAAATGTGTAACGTAATTAAGTAGACATAATTATCATTCTAAAAAACATGAATTTATTCAGTCGTGGCATTTGAAACTACATACAGACTTCAAAGTTCCGAACGTATCTCATTGTCTTCACAGCGGCAGCGTGTGCCAATATAGTATCTATTGATGCATGGCATGTGCTGATGCACGATCGGAATTAAAATATCTCATCGTTTTGTAAATACACCATTACTCCGTCCTTAAATATCTCGATGATAATGGTTGCATTGTCTTGCAAATACGCACATCCAATTAATTATACATCACTTCTATCTCAAACTCCCCACATTTTATTCTCGACTTCTATTAGGAACTAACACATAATACGACGTAAGATCGAATGTTATCTAGGCATCAAATGTTCTTTTAATGAATTCCTGAGATTAATGTCGGTATCTCAAACCAATCACGTCACGCCTGATACAAATATTAACACGCGATCAGTTTGTTCTCTTCGGTAAGACTGGGTTATCACTGAGGTTCCCCTTATCGTGAGAATTTTTCTTTACTTCTTTGATGTACCGTGCACGTTGAGGAATGGGAATGTTGGAAATTCATCTTCAGTACAGTGATGCCAATTATATAGTAATGCTACGTAGTGGAACTATCCTTTTCCAAGTGGTGATGCGTAAGAGAAAATCTCTTATCCATTCTACTATCAGGTATCGTAAACGCGCCCCTTTTATAAAAATGTTCTTATTATACAAATTAATTATTATAAGTCATACGTAGTCTCACGTGCTTATTATCGTATCGCACGTTTATATTTTCAGATTTTATTTAAAAATTACGTTTATAACAAACAGAAGTTACCATTAAATATTCGTTCAATAAATAGGTATATATCTTGATCCGTATTCACTCCTCACTTTTATTAATAAATACGCGCGTATATTTCAGGAATTCTATAGTACCTACATGTTATAACGTAAGATATACACTAAACATTTATCGATAAAAATGAGACATGCATACCGATCCTTTCTAAAAGTCTTTTTAAGTTCAAATACATCTTTCTCTTTATTTGCTTTTCAGAAAAATATGATATAATAATTTTTAGATAATTTTGGGATAGTATTCGATTACACAATAGTTTTACAATGCTTATCTCATTTTGAGATTGTAAAGATTTATAATACATAATTTTTATATCTTATTGACATCTTTTTTTTTATAATTTATTAGTTATAAAAAATCCTTGACAGATAGATATAAAATGAGAAATTGCTATTGAATGAATAAATCATTGCTAATTAATATGATTACATTATCATAATACAAGATAATTATTGAGATAAGGGACAGCTCTTTTCTAAATTAATTTCTTCAAAAAATTCCACGTTGAAATTGATAATAACTTATATAATAACTTTGAGTCAGACATCATTATCAGTACTACCAGTAGTAATCAATATATATATATATAGATATAAACGAGATATTAAAAACTGTAGAAAAACAGGAATTAATTAATAAAAAAATGGTTTTTTACATCGACCCTTCTTAATTTCATTCACATAAAATTACAAAAAAAGTAAATTTGCACTGCCCGGGAATCGAACCCGGGTCGCAAGAATGGGAATCTTGCATGATGCCACTACACCAGCAGTGCTATCCGAATTGCCGGGTATTCTTCAAAGGATATATGGTAGTCACACTGAATATTTTTATAAACGTATTAGATCGTATTTTATCTAATTGAACTTAATATTATAACTGTCAACATATCTATCATATTGAAATAATGCACAATTTGTAAATTTTTAACATTTTATTGTAGCGTTTGACAGATAAGACAACTGTTAATATAATATATAACGATGTATTTAAAATATAATTAACTAATTACGATGAAATTATACAGTGTGGGCTACTAACTTATTCAGATCTATCCATATATATATATTCGTGGGAATGTTTAAATTAAAATTGCAATAAAAAAATCTTTCAAAAAATAAATATTTTGTGCGATGGCCGGGAATCGAACCCGGATCAACTGCTTGGAAGGCAACTATGCTAACCATTACACCACCATCGCACCTGATATGTTATATATCTGTAGCGAGCAAGAGTATTCATTTTGACACAATTACAAATTATAGTATTACTTGTCAAAAATTGTCTTCAATATTTGAAAAGAAATTTTTAAATTTTAAAGATAATACAGAAAACATATTTCTCTTTAAGAATATTTCCCTATAGAAAGTATATATATAATACATATAGTAATATTTAAAAATATAGTAGAAGAATGAAAATATATGAAACATCAAATATAACATTTCTTTGTCGCATAAGAAATTTTTTTAAAATGTGTATTTTGAAGCGATTATTAAATTATAAAATATTATAATAACAGTAATTAGCATCTAATTTTCTTTCGATAAACATCAACTAACGATAATATTACATCAATATTATGATTTCTCACTTAATAATATAAACGTAATACAATATATATTTTGTAAATAATTATATTGTTGAGTAGGAAATTATAACATTAATATTGTAATGTTAATTAGTAATGTTAATGTTAGCTGATATTTATTGAGTTGAAGATTATTATCAGCATTAAAAAGTCGTTGAATTGATTCGTCGAAATACATATAGAAGAATTGAACATATCTAAAGTGACGACCGATTTGAGGAACACCTTATACGAGTATGTCCAATTTTTATAAATCATTTTAATAGCCGGATAATTGCAATGACTTCTGTCACCGTAGATTTGAGAAGTAAAAATATTCGAAGAAAAATTTATTAAGCACAGTTCTCAGTTTTCTATTGAGATAAACGATCGCATCTGATATTTTAGAGACTTTTTCTCCAAAGAGTTTTCATTTGGATTACTAGAGGCTGAATTATTACAAGCGAAAGTAAGATCAGTTAGCTGCTATACATTGTCGCGTGATATAAAAACTCACCATAGTTATAAACATTTAAACATCATACATTATTCAATATTGTCATGCTTCAAAAGGGGACTGAACATGCTGAGAAAGTACGATATATACAACACAATACAACACAATAAGAACAAGCCGAGACGAATGAAACTATTTTCAGTATTAGAACGAAAATAAGGTAAGTATTATAGAAATGAGACATCATTGTGGTGAAAACATCTTTAGCAATACAATATCTCCTACACATCGAATTCCTTGTTTATCTAGGCCGTTATTTACTTTCATAGATTGGAAACAACAAAACATAAAGGTTAACAAGGAATGAAATATTATTACAATTGCCGAAAGGGGAACTTATTTCATCAAAAATGAGTATAGTTTTTTTTTCATCAAAATTTATTAAATATGATTATTTAAAAACTGAAAGGCTGCATTCAGAGAAAAACATTGTGTTAAAAATTATAAAGCTGACAATTGTATAAGTTTTGTGGGTAGAATTAATGTACAACTAAATGTGCAACTATTGTATGATTGCAATAACTATAAAATATGTTTATTTGCAATATGTATATAACTATAAAATAGTTTATTATGTATATTAATTCTACATTTAAAATTTGTGAAAGTGTCACCTTTATAGTTGCCATCACTAAATTTCTCTCTCTCTCTCTCTCTCTCTCTCTCTGAGTTCATTCTCTTCTTACAAAACAACAAATTATAAGAAAACTATAATCTAACAATTTTAATTTTTTAAATAATGAAGATTAATAAAAAATAATAAACATAACAAAATGTTCAATATGCGCACAAAGATATATGTTCTGACATTCGATTAATCTCATATTGAAACTCCAAATTATCACGAATCGTCCGAACTCCCGACCCTTTCATAAATTTTTAAATATTACGAGCACGACGATAACGAGGGCACATGATGGTGGGGAAAGAAACGCGAGTTAGCAAGCTTGAACTGTCTCTCGGCCGGCTACGGCCGGTAAAATCGACTTCTCAGTAAACCTTCAGCGGTCGTCGATCGTAGTAGTTGTTGCGCGTTGTGTGTGCCAACTTCGAGACCTCGTTTCATCGTTCCCATTAACGAGTAATATTAGACCGCTTTTCTCTTCGATACGATGTTTTCTTTTACGAATTATCAAAGAGGAATTAATCTCAAAATTTATATAAATGTGTATTCGTATATTTTGTAGCTTAAATAAAGCTACGATATATTAGTGGTGACACGTAATCATAATCGGAACTAACAATCTTCGTGAAACAAGATTTTGACAATGTAGTGCCATCAATCGTTTAAAAAAAAATATATAAAAAATATTTTTAAAAAGTATATAGTATTGCCAAAAAAAAAAATATCTAAACATAATCCACGAAGATTTATATTATTATATTCATAGATATATCTACAAACATTACGTTAGCTACGTTAAGTTTTGCAGATCACGAATAAATTTTGTAAACTGAAAGTTTAACCAGTGCGATACTAACCAGATAAGATAAAAAGTCGAACATAACGAGCAGTGAGACTCATTATCGGCCACCTCGTCCATCGGCAAGTGAAATTCCCCGTGGTTGTGCAAGGAAGTAGGTCGCAAATACACGTTAATGCGAAACAAGAACGAAGCCTGTGAAACATTCTTTCGAAAGTCTTTCGTTACACAGATTCGATGAGACCAAAGTTCAATGCGATTATTACTAACTCTAATATAAACCTAAAGCAATCATAACTAAAGTCCATGTACATACAATGTACATGAAGTATGATCAGAATCACAAGTAGTTATGTCCTTGAATATATTATATTTGCATGTGTTATACAAGTGAAGTAAAGACGATACCACTGCGTATGTTACCAAGAATTGCTACGGTTGATTGATCAGTCTCATTGGTTTTCTCGTCGTATTCACGAACCACAAATCCATCCATCCTGAAAGATGATCTTCAAATGCCAAGAGCGATTATTATTGCGAAAAAAGGAAAGCGAATAATTTGCCGTGCATTCGAAAGTGACACGCGATGAGAGGATGTGGGATCGTTATTTAGAATCGATACTAATCGCAACGTTCATGCAGCGACACTGTTGGAAGGGAGTTGCCAATGTTGGTTGCCAATGCAAGGGCATTCATTAGACAAAGGAAATAATGCAAAAGCACTTGGCTACAACTTGGAGCATGCGGTCGTGCGGAAGTAAAATCGGACAATCTTAATCGAGACGGCGCAAGAAGTAGAACGCGCGTGGCAAAACTAAAGGAGTGTTTTTCAGATGATGGAAATGGTGAAGGAAAAACTGCGCAGACGAAGCGTGAGCGAACTGCTCAATTGGAGATGCCTAGCTGAATGTAAGGGCGCCATTGCTGGAAACGAAAATGATAGCGCAGGAAGACTTTTGCTAGAAGATCGTAACGGAGAACCGGAGACCCGCAGACGGAGACGATCCGGTACTTGGCCGTGAGTAAAAACGTCACTCGAATCTTCCAAGAAATGATAGAAAGGAAACGGTGATGAGCTTTTGAGTAAATCACGAAACTCATCCCAATGATTTCCTGTCAATCCTGCACGGAAAGAATGATTTTTCTGCAGTATTTAAAAATTTAACTGAATACAGATCTGAAAATAATTTTGTTAGATCTATCAAAATAATTATGTAAGATGTTTAAACTGTTGGCTAGAATGAAAAAATATTTTGCGGAATTGTTTGTCATGTTTTAATTTTCTACATAATTATGTTGATGGTCTAACAAGATTATTTTCAGAGTTGTATTTCGCTAAATTTTTAAATATTTTCGCAAAATCGTTCTGTGTGTATTTTTCACGACAAACAGATAAGACGGCGAGGCTTTATCAATTAGCAGTTTCCAGCAGGAAAATCTTTAAACATAATTGACCGTTGTATTCGAAAGCGCATTATTTCGAAAATAACATCGAATTGCATTTCAGTATCTAACTGCAAGCGAAATGCGAAATGTGATGTTAACAGCAACTTCGGTTACAAAACAGGTTGGCATCGTTGGATGTTTTGACAATATTAGTTAATAATATCAAGTAAAAAATTGTTGTCGTAAATATTTGAAACCAACTGCAACAAACAAAATAATAAATAATTTAGCTTATAATAGTTTATGTAGCACAATGACCACGTTTTGTTTACAGTTTTAGGTAAATAATACTTTTAAATGAATAAAGTGAATTTAAATAAATTATTGCACGATATTTTTATTACACTTTTATTAATATGTATCTATATAGAGTGTCCCAGAATGACCGCATTTCCTTTTACAGACGTATTCTTGAGGTAATTTTAAGACAAAAATCCTAATACGAAAATATCGAGATTACAATAATTTTTTGAATTATAAGTTAACTTTAAATGCTTATAAATCATAAACCATTTTACTATTATAGCTCTCTATATTATTATTTCTGAATTCTTTTAAACATTCTAAGACGAAAATCCTAATACGAAAATACGAGGCTATAATAGTTTTCGAATTACAAACTATCTTTAACCAATTATAATTCAAAAACTATTGTAACTTCGACATTTTTGTATTAGGATTTTCGTCTCAAAATTACCTCAAAATTAAGAATACGTTCTTAAGAGGAAATGCGATCATTCTGGGACACCCTGTATATAAAAAAATTGATTTAATTCATAATACAATTGCTTCATCAAATATGCAAATAAGTATTATATAAATATACAAATTTACATAATAATCAAGGCAAACAAACAGATTAAATAATTTTTAAATCTATACGATATGCTCAAATTTTATATAAATATTTAGATTTAATAATAGAATAAATGAATATTCTAAGAAATAAATTTTCTTATTTTTGGTGATGCTTTGAGAAGTGATGTACACATTTTTAACATTTTAAATTACAGAAACTTCTTTTATTGCTCTTCGTACTCGGAAATAGTGGATAATTCTTTTAATTGATTAAATAATCCGGACTTTAATGTTGTTCAAAGCTAAATAATTAAACGAAGTCATAAACGTGTAATTTAATTCAATTTCAATCTAATGACTAGGATACCTGACTTTCAGGACATTTCTCAATTTGCAATACCAAGAGATTTTTATTGTTCTTTTATCGTTAATAAAAAAAATGAATTTTTTCATCGTGTGATACTCAACCAATGCTGCGAAAAATGTGCACATATAATAGATTGATTTCTAAATATGCTGTCGTTAATTCGACATCATTTAATATAAAAATCACGCCAAGTACGAGCAAGCAATTTTACTAATTTTTTTACAAAACCAGATTGTTTCACTTTATAAAAGAGAGATCACGTAATTTGATTCTATCTCGCATATATAACATAAGACTCAGTATGTAATAGCTTGCTCAACTCTTTTGCTGTATTATGACATCATCGTTTTCGTTGAACGCAAAATTGTTAGATATTAAAACATTATACGTAATTAATTATCGTTTAATTTAATCGTAAATTTTAGTCGAATTTTTAGGTAAAAATTAAACCGAAAATATAAATATTAAGTATTTATACATTAAATATCTATTAAATAAGATAAGAAGAAAGAGAGAGAGAGAGAGAGAAGCTAATAATACAATTTTTAAATATTTAAGATCTTATTGGTTTAAAAGTTATTTAATTATTGTAAATATTTAAAATTCTTTTTACAAAATTCTTTGACATTTTCCACAAATGAAATTTATCTAGCAGAGATCATCAATCGAATTTGTCCAGCTCGATCGATCGGGAAGCCGGTAGGGATTCGAAGGGAAAAAATACGATTGAAATTAGAAACAAATAAATAGGTTGCGTGTTTAGAATTGATTGGCGTTCTCGCGCTTGCGTATGTCCTACCACTCACTGGGCGTCTCGACATCAGCGTGTTCACGACCTAAGAGACATTGCTGGAGACTAGTTCCTCGTGGTGTGTCATTGCCGAAGTGTGCTTTAATCACAGCTGATCCGCGTTGCTTTAATTATTACAAACGTCATTTCTCTCCCACCTGTCTGTCAAGAAATTTAACGTGGACGGATTGTGAAATCAGCACACATGGATGAAGCCGAGTTGAGGTATTGCCATAAATAAAAAATAATTATTTCCATCGTTACCATAAGTCATATTTTATCAAAGTCCTACGAAGACCTATCATCTTCATTCACTTCAAATATAAAATGCTATTACTTCTCGAAGTGTCGGATATGAAGGGTGCAGATCTCCTAGATTTTTGGAAGTCTCTGCGAAATCTCTACGAGTGTGCACGTGTATCTTTTAGCATCGGCGTCCGCTTGAATCACGAATGCTGCGGGAGCACTTCTTGTTGTTCCTTTCTTCGAGAGCGAGAACGCGTTCACCTTTCACCGCACATTCCATCCGATCCGGCTTTTGCTCGATGAGCTCCTGTATGACTCGCACCCATGGCGCCTCCGTTGCGCCGTCAGTCGGAATTTCAGGAATTCGCGTTCGATGCAATCGATTACAAAACTGTTTTCTCTTCGTTGATTGGGTCCAAACAGCCCACGTGTCAGCTGAACGGATCACTTCTTATGAAAATGTGTCTTGACTCGGTGGCAAATCTCATTTTTACAAATGTTACGTTCTCAATCCAAATGTTGTGATCGATCGCAGCTGTGTTGCAACAATATTGCTCTAATTTAATAAACATGATGATATTTAACACTTCGATGTATTCATCGTAATACAACCGGTTTTTGCACGAGAAATCTTATCGTTTAGAAAGAGAGAGTACAAATTTCCTCAACTGATCAAGAGTTTTTTTCACTTTTGATTTGCCAAGTAAAATAAAAAAGAGGAAGAAACTAACATTTCCTTGAACCAGATTCTAGTCTCAATTATTTTAAAAACTTGATATATCTAGATAGTACATAAACATTCGATGAATGTTTTTTTAAACGATGAATTTATTAAAAATATTTGTTATTCTAGGATGTACAAAAAAGTTAAATATTCATGTTTACAGAATATTCGAATAGTAAAATTATAAATATTCTATGAACATATGAATATTTTGTACAATGTTTTATAGAATATTGTACAAACTTTTATGCTCTACGAATATTGTAAAGAATATTCTGTGTATATTTATAAAAAATTTATTTAACTTGGTAAAATGTTTTTATATAAGAACATATAGAAATATATAAACATATATATATATATATATAAGTGCAAATTATTTTTTATTTTTCTATTAAAGAAGAAGATTATTGTAGGCAGAAGTAACGTTTATAGTTTATATAAATAACACTCACTGTAATTGTGCAAAGTCTCGAAGAAAGCGCTGTTACATCAGCAAGTGTGTCTTAATTAAAAAAATAAATACACGATCGAGAAAGTATAGCAACCTGTAGGCGACGAAAATATCTTCGAATACAGACGCGTCGGCGCAATATATTTCATCTAGTAGATTCAATCAGAATTATCATAATGTTGTTTGCAACATTCGTTAACACGCGTTAGAAGGTTACTATCTGCAGCATCGACGCGAATTGTGGAACGAATCATTACCGACTGCCAGCGATAGTATAGTAATTGCAAGCCACTTTTCTATGCAGACGCGTCATTCCGCGCGCGGCCATCTCGCAACTTAGTCGCTGTTATGTGCCTGAATTATCGTGATTAAAGTTGTTACGAAAAGCGTAGATAAACGCTTAAAAATTCATATTTAACATTTTATAGTTGTGTAACATTTAGATAGGTACGCGTGCGCGAGATTGACGCTCTTGTTAGTTTTAATGGTGCAGTGAAATTTATAGAAACGTTAAAATAGCAATACTGGAAGCGAAAGCAATTTATTTTATGCGCAATCGCAATGTCTATATCGAGAGATTGAATCAAAGAAACAGACCATAGTCCAGCATAGATTGTGATAGGTTCGACGCAAAGTTTCGAACGAAGTTCAAGGTTCGCGCGAGAAAGATTTTTTTTGTTGTAAATTTTTCTCTTTGAGGTGAGCCTAACGCGCTAATTAAAAAAGTCTCTGCCATTTTGTAATGTTTTTAATGATACTAATATTTTAAAATTTGCATCTGTACATCCAGTGCTGGCTCAAATAGGCTTATTTATTTATATTTATTTAATCATTAGAGTTTGAATTTAGAGTCTTTTTTTAACTAATATTTTAATTAACGCATAAATCACATAAATTTTTCACGTAAAATTTTTACTTAACACGTGATAAAGACAAAACAGCAATATAAAAACTACAACTTCTCATTGCAATCTTATCTCAAATAATATCTTCGGAAAAAAGGAAAGCTTGTTATTGAGAATGATTTTGAAGGCCTTTCAATGAAGAACGTCATGATGTCGTCATCTCGAAACGAGACCGTGGATTCTTAGGATTTAAGTATTCAATAAAAAGCAAATCAAATGTTGATTTGATCGGAAAAGTTATAAATCCAATAGTACGATCACGCTTGTGAAAGTCGTATATAATTAGAAATTATATAATGTTCTAATAAAATTTAATTGCGTGCCATATCGGCACGCAATTATAATTTCTGATATTAATTCATTTAAATGAATTTACAATAGTTCAACATCTTAACGTTCTGACCGTTATGGCGCTTCTTAATTTAAAGCATTGTAAAACAATTTAATTTAAGAAATTAAATTGGACTCAAATTAGTTTGTTATTTACTTTAAAATTAAACAATTCAATCACTGCAGTAACACATTGATTACGTTTTGATAGATGTGGAAATTAAAAATAATAAAACTTTTTAATACTTTTTTTAATTCAAGGAATTGGATATTTTATATTTTATCTCCTTTGATATTTTATAACAGTGTAATGTGGCATATTCAAGATTTCTTTTACTTGACTGTAATAACTTTTTATTAATGTAGGGGTACATAAATTTGTTGTCTTCCATTATATTTCTTGATGTTTGATATTTTGATTAAAAAAATTTATATTTTTATTTTTATGCGATATTTTTCGCAAATATAGTATAGTGGATACATAACGGAACGATATAAAATGGCATTCCGAAGAGCTAAAATAACGAAATAAATAATTAGAAATAGGATGATTTATTTTTATAAACGTTTTATATACAAACAGATTTTAGTTAGCGATAGAGCAATTCCGATTTAAACGTATGGAACTGGATGATGTTAATTTTAGTAACCGTTTCTTCCTGCTAATCGTACGCGAATCTAAATATAAATTGTTTTGGCACAACTTTGCTACGAGATCTTGACTACTTTATTACGCGTATCGCACCGTATCTACATGTGATACTGTTGTGATTTATATAAAGAAAGACGTTCAAGGGTATCATAATTCGCTTGGTCATGATAATTCTTAGTATCTTATCAACATTATTCGAATTTTTAACGTATAATTTTATTTTTTTATATATTTATTTATTTTATATGTTCCTATCGCGATATTAAGTTAAAGTAATATTAATTTACCTATACCATTTTATCACAAATATCTTGAAGTATTTTGTGCATACAGGGCTGCAAAAAGTTTAACTTAATTTGTGCTAATTTTTTTTATTATCTGCAAGATTTGGCCGATATGTCTCTATCAAATGTTGATGAAATCAATGGACAATATGACTTCGTTTATGATGTCGTTGGCCAGTCAAATGTCCCGTCGATGGACAATAATCTACAAAATCGCATCCTCAGGTAGATCTTCCTCGATAATAATTTCCTCTTGTCATAAAAAAGTATATTTTAAATGACTAAATGTTACGATCAGTAATTTACAAAACTCACTGATAAGCAGATATTGGACGCTGACTGGTTGTCTGTAGAAAATATTTAATTGTAAGTTAAAAAATGTTTGCATGTGTGTACACTGACGTATATATATGAAGCCATGATTCTGGCGTGGTTATTTTAAACTTGAATTACACGATAGTTCTGAATGATAAGCATGCATGCATACATGCTAAAATACGTTCATGCATTGAGCACAGCATGCTGATAGGCATGCTTTTTATTTCTGTATTTATTTCTGTCTATTACTTTATAGCTTATTTCCTTGCTTATTTCCTTATCAATGAAAAGGTTAAAAATAGTCACGTAATCGAGCAGACGATTGACAGTATCTTCAGAATAGAAACAATTGCATTAAAGACGCCAAAATTTTTTTTTTAACAATTGTACTAATTTTATAGTTACCTGCCAAACATCAGACTGCATCATGCATCAAAGCAAGCTTAGCAGTACATACATGCACGCATGTTTATCATTCCAGAAATCGTGTGATTTCACTTTTACACTTGATTACATTGTGAAGAAATGTAGAACAAAATTGAAACTAGCGAACTCGAGCGTTCTATTATGAAATGCATTTTCCTACATAATAGGTGTGTTGCGTGATACTTGTTAACTCATAAAAAAATATGACATAAATTGTTCCGCGACAGCAAAAGGATTCAAATCTACTAATGTTAAAAAGCTAATACACTAATGCATTATAATTATAACTTTTATATATCGATAAGTAACTAGGTCAGACTAATTATTGTCTTGACTTAGCACAGTTACATGCGCAACTAACTACATTTCAAATTTGTTTTTATAATCGACTTATATTCGGCAATAAAATAACCATTTCTATATGTAAATTGTGACACATAAACACGCTATAACAAATTTTAATTTTAAATAGTATAAGTTTTTAATAAATTTATTTTGATACTTATTTATTCTTAATTAAAATACTTATTTTACAATATATAAGTAATAATATGGCTCAATAAAATGAAATTAGTAATAATGAAAAAGAAGGGCTACGAGCCAAACAATAACCTTTTAATGTTCGAAGAATAGTACAAACATTTATTTTACATTAAAAAAAATAAATATATTAATAAAGAAAGGTTTTGATACGATCGAAGAAACATGATAAATCGATTCTTTCGCCATTTAGAAAATGACTAATGGAAAAAGGAATGGAGAAGATCAGAAGAAGTTCGCTTCTAAGGTCAGAGTTGAATACACTCATACTCTTTTGTGATATCTCTTTTCGAAGGTGGCGAGATCACTCGACGTATCTGATGATTTTTTTATGCTTAACACTTGTTTTCTTTTTATTTTACAGAAGAACGAGGAGTCTAAACGCACCCAGTCCCGTTCAACACTTCGGGCGATGTGGGGGTATCATGAAAACTTCTGTAACGGTTATGTAAGTAACTCATACGATATTTTGTTGGAGGCATTGAAAGACATAATTAATTATTATGTAGAATATTTCTACATAATATTTCTTTCTCTTTAAGTAATTATTTTATTATTATTCACACACATAATGTAACGCATTGAAAATCGTTCTCGATAGCGCTCCTATTAGATATTAGCATCACTAATTAACCTTTTCATTACTACGTGACTATCACGCGCAAAGCAACCTCCATACTATATGCGATTATAGTCGTTCGATATATTTTGAGGTAATAACAAACGAAAAGTTCTCTACCATTTTGTAATTTTCGCAATAATTAACAGGATATTAATTACTAAAAATCGCTGAATATCGGTTTTCAATAATTTTTTACTCAAATACTATCAATTTAAACAGAAAAACAGCAAGAGACAGAAATTATTTATTTTATTCTAAAGTTCTGAGAATTTTTTCAGACACTGAGAGAAAACAAAATAGTTCCAGCAACTATAAATTTGGCAACTTTTGCAATTGAAGTACCTGTAACTAGTTTTACAAAGTAATAGAAACTAAAGTAGTGCTGAATATTATAAAAATATAGTCACGGTAACAAATTGCAGTATTAATTGGTAGTAAAGTAGTGACTCAACTACATTGAGTAGTTATTTGGACTTCATGCAAATAGATATAACAATTACATTTTTCTAGTTTAGACAAAAATTTTTAAAGGGTCGCTCAGTACGAGTAGTACGCGGCTTTGTCACCAGAGGGACGTAGCGGAGTTCAGTTTCTCCTCTACGAAGGAAACCACTCACTTACAATAAAAGGCGTAGCGTTGGTTTCAAACTTGGAAGACAAAAATAAATAAGAAATGCATATACAAATTTGTAACTATGTATTATAAAGCTTTAATAACAACAATAAGTAAATTAAGTGAACTAAGAAAATATAGCAATATTAACCATTTATAAATTGTTTATATGGTTAATGTACTATATTTTCTTAATTCACTTAATCTAGTATTCTTATTAGAATTTAATAATATGTATATAGTTGTGAGGCGCTATTTCACTACAAATTTATAATTACTGATACGACTTTTTTCTCTGAGTGGAATTTTTTAATACCGTATTTCTCATGTTGATAAAATAGTTGTCAATAAGAAAAGACAGTACTAAAAAGTTGATAGTATTTGAGTAAAAAATTAGTGAAGACCAATATATTCGACAATTTTTAATAATTAATATCTTCTTATAACTATTGCGAAAATTGCAAAATGATAGAGGATTTTTCGACTCAGTTTAGTTCGCTCTATATTCCACACACAAGTGGTTTGTCAAAACTTACCGGACACCCTGTATATATTTGATAAACAATAAAGGCTCGTTCAGACGAGCGACTTCGTAGCGTCACAATCGTAAGCGCCGACCCGTTCATACGAAGTTATTTTCTGGCGCTACAGAAAAGTGTCGCGAATATGTTCATATGGGTCAATTCGTGGCGCGACAAGAAATATTGTGGATGCGTTCAGAGGGATAAACTCATGGCTTAACAAAGCGCTGCAAATTCGCCCATCTGAATGCATCCGTAACGTTTTGTCGCACCATGAATTGACTCATATGAACATATTCGCGACACTTTTCTGTAGCGCTAGAAAATAGCTCCGTATGAACGAATCGGCACTTACGATTGTGGCGCTAGGAAGTCGTTTGTCTGAACGAGCCCTAACGGCGATATTAAACAATATAATATAAATGATTTATAATAGAAAATTTGTAATAGATTATTAATAATAAATAATAAAAAAAGTGATATAGTAATAGTTATAAGATAACAAAATGATACAGCACACGTAAGTGTAACAACTAGCTCCTCTACTCCTAAAAAATCATAATAACTTTATAAGCCGCACATGAGCGTTTTATTATTACATTTTATTTTTACATCACAAAAAATTTCTCGATAAAATATGATGAGATTTTAAGTTCAACATTTGCAAATGTCTGTAATTTTTTATCGGACTTTAAAAAGTTCAATGTTATAAATATTTAACAATAATCTATAACTGCAGCATAAATCAAGTCAATATTAATTTAACATCAAATATAATATAATATATCAATATAACTGTTACGAAATTATCTGACTGGGAGTCTGTCATTCAGATAAAATCGTAAATAACGATATATTTTATGTAAATAGCAATATTAACAACGTGTCATCAAAGCTATTGCGACAGTACATTAATGGTGTATTAATGGAGCATAAAGCAAAATTACCTTACTATATACGCCATTGTAATCGACGAAAATTTAATTTTTAATATTTTGGAATGTTTACGACACTATAAAATGCTCAAAATACTTAAATTAAGTTCTTTATATTTTAAACTTTTTTCGCGCTACTGATTTAGACCACTGTGCGTCGAGTTGAAAGATTTTCTTGTAAAAAAGATTCGAAGTACATCTGTATGTATTGTAGCCAGCAAAACCAGCAAATTTAATGAAATAAAATTATTTGCTTTTTATAGCAATTAAACATTAGATACCTAAAATAGAACAGTTTCTGCCAAATCATAACTTCTAAAAATGAATCAGTGTATTATTACTGAAAAACAGTAAGTATTTATTGATGATTACAAGCTATAAATGTAATACTGAAGTCAGTAATAATATACTGATTCACTTTTACAGAATACGCACCGAAAATTTGTCTTAAATGTTTATCTAAAGGTGCATAGAATAGCCTCCATTCTTTATATAAAAGAAGACTTTTCTTAACTTTCTAAATTTTTCTTACAATAGAACATGTTTCTATTGAAATTTAGACTTTCCAACCATATGTTTTCTTAACAAAGATTCTTAACAAAGTTCTAACAAAGATTTTTCACATCTGGGTCCAGATGTGACAATACAAAACAGAATGTAACTCAAATTGAACCGTTATTATAAGCTGACTTCAAAGAAGAGTCGAAATGTATTATCGTAAATAATACACTTTCAAGATATATTTTTTTAATTAATCAACTGGCTGTTTTGTGTCTATTTGTGCAATAATTACAGCGCTGTTGCTCATATTTGCCGATTTCTTTATTAATGTTTTAATATCGTGAATCACATCGAACTTATTGATTAAAAATAATTCGAATTGAGACATTTTAAATGTAACAGTGTACTGCAACATTTGAAAAAATTTATTTAGTCTATGTTCAAACTTTTTTCTTATCATGAAGAATAATAATATATTAGGTTTAATTTATGTTTAATTTCCATCATGTTTAATTTAGACATAATCGCTTTGAGTAAACGTGCGGCTCATATAGCCGCGTCGTATCACGCATTTCGTAGCAGACCGTAACAAAAGAATTAAATTATAAAACAACATTTCACATCATAAGGTCTGTTTTTTATTGCTGCACTTTCTGAACTGGTACACAGAATGCAATAAGATGAAGTGAAACAAACGTATATTTGTTTCACTCCAACTTATTGCACCGGTTCAGAGTGCAGCAATAAAAAACAGATCTATAGTCATATCATCGCTGTTAATTGCAATAGATCGATGCCGTAGATCGATATTATCACAGTTAATTATTGATTAAAAATAATAATATTATAAATCCTCAAAATATGCGGGCGTATAAGAAAAAAATCTACGTGCGCTTCATTCGTTAGGTGATATTCGCTTTTCTTAGTGAAAAAGTCTTAACGGTCATCTTCATTAGCAAACAATCATACCAAGACAGTAATCGCATTCATGTAGTAAATGTCAAACATACTAGAAACGACCGACGAAACTTATTTGCGTTTCTTTTTGCAAGGTATGATGACTAAGCGTGATTCTATATACTGAGAGAGCATTTTAAACGTAACTATTTGTTTTTGTCTGCTAGTTAATTTTTATGTTAAAATTATATGCGTGTATCTTAGAACTCTTTTTAAGTAATTAATATACTTTTAGGTGATTATGAACAAAATAAATTTAACCAGGATTATAGTATAAAATAATATATATATAAGAATAGAATACATTAGACTACGTTCGGAAAGCGCGTTATCAGTCTCTCTCTCTCTCTCTCTCTCTCTCTCTCTCTCTCTCGCGCGCGCGCGCGCGCGCGCGCGCACACACACACACACACACACACACACACACATTCTATTTTTATCATCTATTACATATAAAATAAATACAAAACGACGTAATAACGTAATGATAGCACGCTTCTTTGAACGAAATTTATGCATTCTATTTTTGTATTATTTTATGTTACAATCCTTATGTTAATTTATTTTTGAATAATTTCCTAAAAAATATTTTTTTTGAATGCATATAATTTTGTGAAACAGAAAATTCTATTATGTATTATATATACGTGTGTATGCGTTTATATACATGTATATAAGAATTTCATATTTATTTGTTTATAACTGATTTATTTCGCTTGATAAATATCTATAAATCAAAATTTTGGAAAAAATTAATAATGGACACTTCATCATGAATATGATAATCTTCTGCTAGAGCTTGAAAAAACACGTTTTGTATATATAATAAATCAGATGTCGCTGCGTGATTTCCCGCGCCTGTATACGACGAGTAGGCGCGTGCGCGTTTCCGTTTAAATGTCTATCTTTTACTTGAGTCAGTAAGCGCGCGTTCGTCAACCAGTAGCCAGTACCATATCATGGTTGGAACATCGAGGTAGGTTGTCGAGGCGCACGATTCTTTTTAGATGATAGTTGACTGTTTACAATCTCGTGGCACACACAAGATCGTACTTCCTTAAACGTCGATTGATAGTTTCAAAGGATTATGTTAATTCAGTGATAAATTGCTCAGTGAACGTGAATTGAAGTTCTTTTATGAAAAAGAGAAAGTCGTATATACATATTACTAGTGTTAAGTTTGTGTGAACATGAATTATCCTAATTATTCCGAAATTTTTGTTAATATGGTGAACTCGCTGTAAGCTTAACTCGTTTTTTTTTTTTTCAAATTAATAACTTGCATTAAATTTGTGTATAAATTATGTACAATTATGTATAATATGCATAACTTGCATCAAATTATATATAATTACACATGATGTCACAAATTATTACATATAATTGGAGTCATTTTTAATCCTTTCAAATGTTATTTAACACACAAAATTGATGCAAATTTAATTCTTTAACAATGTGTATTCTATTTTTTTTCTCTACTTTTTCTTAAAAAATATTTAAAAATTATCTATTAAACATTAACAACATAATGAAATATTATAGCCCGCTTTATTTCAATCTCATGAAGTTTAGCAGTCGGACAAGTTATCGATTCCCTACTTGACTCTGACGTAAAAATATATTTTAAGATTATCTGACAAATATTTAGAATTGGGACGACATATTAACATTAATAACTAAATTGTAATTACATATAGTTTTACTAATCGAACACGTGTATAATATTCGGGAAAAATTAAAGATGCGATTCGAATCAGTGCACGAAAAAACACATGCGAGTTAATTTGAATTGGCAGGAAAAAAATGGAAATTATTGGTACTAAAATATAATATAAATATCAAGAATATGTACTAAAATATAAATATCAAGAAAAGTCAAATTAACGAACCAATAATTAAATAAATTGAAACATTTTATTAACATAAATTATCAAATATAACGAACGGAACATTTCGACAATTATACTCACAACAGTCATCTTCAACCATATCTATACAAATATGCAGTATATAATAAATAATTTAAATGATAATAAATATTAGCATTACGAAACTACATCTATAGTTGGAAATTAAAAGTTACATATATAGACAGTGACTATCGGAATGAAATCCAACAATAAGATATAAAGTACAAAATATTTTTCAATGTTAAAAAATTTTTATTTAAATAAAATATTTCTAGCCAATTTCTAGACAAATAATACAAAATGTACATAAAAATAATAAGGGATTAAGGTAACGATAAAAGTAACAGCTAAATTGGTTAACGTTATTGTAAAAATGTAATGATGTTACCGTTATAGACAGAAAAAAGATTTTCTCTTCCTGCAAATATATTTTGCTTTGTGTTGAATCATCTCTATTTATTTCTCTCTTTGAAAAATTTCTTTTAAGATTCTTTGAAAGAAAGGCATCACACAGTTACCTGAGACATGAGGCTTATTCTTTTGGGCTAAATTTTTGCCAGTTAACCAATTAATCATTCTTTCTTTTCTCTCCAGGAAGAACCTAATAATATAATGTACAAAAAATAACTTGTCATATATTTAATTATGCTTTTTAGTAAGAAATTTTATGACGATGAAGTCTAAATGGTATAAAAAAAAAGGCGTGTATCAGTAACGATAATGTAGATGATATCGATGATGTTATTTTTTGAAAAAGAAATAAAGTTGCGTTATTAAATTATCAAAGAAAATAATGTCTGAAAACACTTACTTAATTGTTACAAGAGGACACAGTGTGTAAAAAATTAATATGTCTAATAAGATTTTTATAAGATTCCATGCTGATAAGAGTAATGACAATCAAATGAAGACAATCATGAAACGAACTATCATATAACCGTATATCAACAAATTATTATAAGAGAGTATCAATTTTTAAAAATCATTATTAGGAAGCATATCAAGTAAACAATAATAAGAGTCGTTAAGAAATTCAATATTTTTTAAGGAATTCTATTTCATTATTCTTTTATATGTAGCATCTCAAAGATCAATTTTTTATTATGATTAGATTCGGAATCCAATATTTTAATATTCTTTCAATTAAAAAAGTGATTAAGTTCTAAAATTGTATATTCCGAATAATAGAAATGATAATCGAAAATCATGATGATACAAATTTTATATTATTAATATGTTCCTTAATTCTTGCGTTATAGGCTTTTTAATTGCTAGTATTGTTTCTGCGGTAAATTTTGTACACAACATATTATTAGAACTAAAATCAGTTTTATTTTTGCTCTCTCTAATAAATTTATCAAAGTTTATTTAAGCCTCTAAAATCTACAGGAAATTATTGTTATTTATAATTAATCAGTGCATAATATTCACGATAAAGTCATCATATTATATTTGACATCACCAAACAAATTACTGCAGATTTATTTACTTTTCATTGACAGAATTGTTTATTTCTAACCGTTTATCATATAAAAAATTACGATATTTTAAATGTCACTTGAAATTTCCATTTATATCTGGCCGATCTTTGCAAATATTTGGAGAAAAAATATATAGTTTCGCAATTTTTGTTATTTCACTGTTTCAAATTTCCTTTCGAGACAATTTAATCATTATTTACTACGAATTTTACAAATTTTTTATTTGACTGCGGATGCAAAAAATGTACGTCTTTATAGATTACGCACAAACTTCGGTGCAATATAATAATGTAATCACTTTAATACTTATAAACAGTAAATGAAATTCATCGGGGTCAACACTTTTTTACATTTCATCAGTTGTTGCCTTTGTCTTTTTGCTTCGATTGTTTCTTAATGTTCGTACAGTACACAACGACAGCTAGCGTATAATTATACGAAGCCTAATTCTTCCGATCACACTTGCGTAAAGTATAATTCAATTTTATTTGAACCCACGACCTCAGTCTACGATAAATATGTTTTTATAAAATACTCTATAAAACATAACTCTGATATAAGAAACGTGAGACAGCAATTCAGTTCAGCTGATAATTATCATAAATTAGAAGAAAATATATAAAAATCGTAATACTTTTGCTTGCTCATTTCAGGACTATTCAGGATCCAGCCTCTCAGAGGTTGACGTGGTACAAACCACCTCTCTCTGTTCTGGTTATCAAGAAGGTCCGTGATTCGTCAGTCCTGCTACCGTTTGTTCAGTTGGTCACATGGTTGATAGAGGTAAACGTTAATATGATCATTTAATATATCGGAAGACTGCGATTGATATGCCTATCTCGAAAGGTTAATTAACGGGCTCACAAACTGATGTCAGCAGCATATTTGCACTTTATTTGCATGAAATACTATCATAATTTCCAATTCATACTTTCGCTACGTATTCTTAATATATTAATTTTATATTATATATTAATTTTATATTATATAGTTGTATTTTATTCTTACATGTAGAATGTATTCAATTCTTACATGTAGAATATATTGACAAAATATAGAAGATATAATCTGATATGATACTATATTATAATTATCTACGATATAAAATAGTCATTAAAGTAATTAGTTTACATATACATGTATAGTATATAACAAAAGTAAGTAAACATATGTTTTTAATGTTTGAATATTTTGTTTCTAAAACTTGAGGTTTAGATATCATAGTGAATAAATAAAAAGCGAACGTTTATTGTAAAGTACATTCATTTTTTTTAAATTTCTTTTTTTCGCATACAGTAATTGTGATGCGTCAGAGTTGCCTGATGCGTGTAATTAACGAATAATTTACGTAAATGGTGCATTCTTACCCTCACTTAATAATTTTGCACGTATTTTGTATTTATTCTGCCAAGTAGTAAAGATATAATGCCGAAATTCTGCAATATATATACAACATATTTGACTTATAGCTATTATTTATGATATTTAGAATTTAACATGGAAAAAGTAAATGGTTGCAATTATGAATTTCATTTGATTTTTCTTTAATGCAGGCAAAACGAATGGTTGTATTTGTGGAAGCTTCTGTTCTGGAAGACCCAGCCCTGGCCAGAGATCCTAGATTTCAAAGTGTTCGCGATAGATTACAAACTTTTAGGGACGGCACAGATGACTTGCAGGTAATGATAATCTTCGCTTATTTTGAAATATATATTTATAACAAAAATTATAATCTGTGTGTTTATTATACAACTTTTCGTAATATTGCTCTTAAGTAGTAATTGCTCTAAAAATTAATTTATATTTACATCGGATTTAGTTAGTTACTGTACGATAAAAATAAACAATATTGTACAAAGTAAAGGTTAATAAACGATAAAATTTTTATTAATTTTTAATTACTGTTTTTTTACTTCTTTTAAATGGAGTGCATTGCTTTCTGTTTTCAGGATAAAATTGATTTTATCGTCTGCTTGGGAGGCGACGGCACACTGCTTTATGCCAGTTTGCTGTTCCAACAGTCAGTGCCACCTGTAATGGCATTTCACCTTGGTTCCTTAGGATTTCTCACACCCTTCGAATTTGATAATTTTCAGGAACAAGTGACCAATGTTCTTGAAGGTTAGTTATTAATTTATTTCACGTTTTTTTCTTTTTCTTAATCACCAAATTTACATTGTATCTTGTTTTCGGTTCTAGGTAACGCAGCTTTAACTTTAAGGAGTCGTCTGAGGTGCATAATTATACGCAAGAATGAAGACAGTCAGTTGACTGAACCACCAACGAATCTCTTGGTATTGAATGAAGTTGTAGTAGATCGAGGGCCCTCACCTTACCTTTCAAATATCGACCTATTCATTGACGGCAAACACGTGACAAGCGTCCAAGGTGATGGCTTGATTGTGAGTACGCCGACCGGGTCGACCGCTTATGCAGTTGCTGCTGGAGCCAGCATGATTCATCCTTCAGTTCCTGCTATAATGATCACACCGATCTGCCCTCACTCTCTGTCCTTCAGGCCGATTGTCGTACCTGCGGGGGTCGAGCTCAAGGTAGTTCTTTAATCTTTTAAAAAAGCCGAAGAAACGCGCTAATGGAACGTTTTACACATTTATGGTGGCGGATTAAAAATTTCTTAAAAACTTCGAAACAAACACCTTTTAACTTTATTCATGAAAATAAAATCGTCTTATTCAATTCTTTCGGGATTTATAGTATAGATACTGGAATCACTTGAGTCGGTTTTGAGTTTTTTGTAGTGATGAAATCTATGACCCCCACCTCAAAGAGAGAGAGAGAGAGAGAGAGAGAGAGAGTTTTCACTTAAGAGTTTTTATAACATTTTCACTTATTGATAACAATAGAATTAAGTCTTATTCATTATTTTTAAGATTTATAATAGGTACCAGAATTAGTTTCATTTGAATCGGTTCTTTCTTTGTGCTGAAATATGGCTCATACTAATTATTCAAAAGAAAGAAATTTTTCAATATATCCAGATGTCACAGCACATCCTTAGGCTAAATGCTACCTTGAAGTTTTCACTCAAAAGTTTTCAAAGTATCAGAACTTATTGGAAATAACTTATTTCTTCTCACCAAAGAACCACCAAAGAACCTGTTATGACTAAAGAAAGATCATTTCCGTAGTAAGAAATTCTTTTGTTAATTTTTCGTAAATATTAGAATTATTTTAAATATGTTAATTTATTCCAATTTGAAATTTATATTAAATTAAATTTAGTTTATTCGAATTTAAAATTTATATTTATATTAAATTGTTTCTTATACGTCATCCCAGAATGATAATAATGGAATTTGTAAAAAGACTTATTAAGCAACAGACTTCAGAAAAAGGTCTAAGAATTAACGCATTATTTCGAGTTAAACGAACCGCAGTGGTACCGCTGTAATCAACAGCAATTAACATGAGCATCTTGCTTTCCACCGCAGATCTCGGTTTCACCCGACAGCAGAAATACCTCGTGGGTGTCCTTCGACGGTAGAAATAGACAGGAACTCTTCCACGGTGACAGGTAAAACCGAAACGCTCGGCAACTCCGTCTAATCGTTTGTTTTTTCTACAATTATTTCAGATAATGGCAAACAGCAATGCTCGCAGTACAGCTTACGTCTCGTTCGATGGCCGCAATCAGCAAGAGCTGCGTGTCGGCGACAGGTTTGTCCTGCTTTCGTAGAAAAGAGCTCCGTACCGCTTTTCTTTCTATATTTATGTCTCGTTGGATTAAACGATACGTTCCTGTACGTTCCGTAATTTATACTTTTTTTTCAAAATTATATTCATAAATTCTGTAAGTCACGACGCATAAAATATCTCCTTCCAATAAGCTTGTTTCAAATCGAATCCATATTTAAGTAAAAAATGAGGAGCTACAAGCTTGGCTAAATATTTATTACAAAATTTAACTTGTAATTTGAATGACAAATGAACTTATTTCAGTCGGTATTCTTTTCATTTTTTTTCATTTCACATTGTCGGACGTTTCCCATTTCTTTTCACTTTATATTAATCCGACGAAAATTTATGGTTCCTATTTTTGTAAATTATATTTAAAAATTTTCTGCTACATGCTTAGTTATTCTTTGCTTAATTTTCCTTTTTCTGTCAATATTTTATATTAAAATACCTTTCTGGAGACGTTAGCTGTACTGCAAGGTGACGGTACTTAATAATTTATTATTCATACTTACGTAAACGTTTTATGCATAAACATTAAATCAAAGGCTTTCGCTTATCATAATAAAATCACCGAGATATAAATATTTTCTCTCACATAAGAATGCACTATTTTTAACAAATATATGAATCATTTTCTTATAAAAACACTTTTTCTGCAAATAACCACAAATAATAAAGAAGTAACTTAAATAAATTTTATTTGTAACAATTTATTTTGCTGCAAAGTAAACTTTCAATCATATTAACTTTAGATTAGATTCGTTTAATTTTATCAAATTGATTAATTAGAAAAAATCGCATAATTTTTCAGTTTGAAGGTGACCACCTCTATATACCCGGTGCCTAGCATTTGCGCAGCCGACCAAATCACCGACTGGTTCGATTCCTTAGCTGAATGCCTTCACTGGAATGTCAGAAAGCGGCAGAAGCATTTGGACGAGCTAAGTGATCTCGCGCATTCATCGAGCAACGATACCCTAGATTCTCTCGATCGAGATAGTTAGGTTAAGGAGAATGTTCATACATAGTCAAAATCGACAATATTTGGCCAAATATAACTCCGCTGAAAATCGGAATAAAATTGGTTACTCGACTTTTCTAATTAATGTCGCCTTCATCGATTAAAACTTTTCTAACGAAATCTTGTTAAGTGTAAGGAAGCTAATAAAAAATTGATTGATTGTTAATACAGATATGATCTATGAGATTGTCATCTAAGAAACATCTGTATGTAAGATCTACAGCTGGAGATGAAGATTACGTAATTAGATTAGAAAAATGAGCTTGGATCATGATGAATCTTAATTCTTAATAATAAAGTGCATTTGGAAAGAATACATGTTAACAGCGAAATATTGTTTAATTCGATTGATTATTATCGTGAAGAAATTATGTACTATTAATAATTTGAACTCGCTCGCATACAATGTATTTATTCATAATTGCGTTTTGGTCTGTAAAATGACCCATCGATTTAATTGAATATCTAAGAATCTTTTGTACCTTATCGATATCATATTATTTGTACAAATACTTTTATTTTCTAGCGTTCTTTAAATTGATATGATTTATATACGAATGACTATATTCTTGCTTTTTTATTTACTGATTATAATGATAATCGATATGATATAAATCGATTTGTTGCGAATGATGAATTTTCCTATAAAACAAAACTTTTTAATAAAATATGTTTTGTACAATATGTACTATTATGTTTTTTTTAATAATTCCAGAATCATAAAAATTCCACAAAAATTGTAAAAAAAAGGGGAGAGGTTACCGCATTTATTGAACCTTATTATATTTGGACAAAGAGAGTATAAATTAATGTGATATATGTCTTACTACAAATGAATTTATTCATCTGCAACATGTTATGGAAATATACATTATATACACCGCGCGCAGAAGGCATTAAACATTAAACGCTTCTTTTGTCACATACACTGTAAGTATCGTAAAAGAAATCGCAGCAATTTCAAAGACAAGAAAGGACTTTCCTAGAAATTTGCAACGTTTTCACAGAGAAACTCTCCATGAATTTATCTAACTAAAGACTCGGAGAAAAGATCCCTTAATCCATCTAACTATATTTAATATAAATAGATATATGAACCTAAACTTTTACATTTGGCTATATCAGTCATGAGCATGTTGACACGTTGGCGAATGCATAAGTCATGGATACGCTACTTTACACTTAATTATATGTACATTATAATAAGCTTAAAAAGAAACTAGTTTACTTTAAGAGATACAAGAATTATTATTAACTCTATATATATTTTATATATATATGTATATCTTACTATATTTAAATAATTCTTCTTTAAGTTAATAGTAAACAGTCTATATAAAGAACTCTTACAAACTATATCAATTTTTTACAATTAAACTATTATTATTTATTTAAAGCCAAACTTGCATTTTTTTCAAACAAACGTTGAACAATTGAAAAAGATAAGCAATCCGTGAAAACTTACGTTTCTTGTTAAAGCAATGCTTAAAACAGACCTTTCACTTAAGTTCGGTTTCTACATTTATATGTTTGTTAATCTATGATTCAATCATTAAATTTTTTAAACGTTTGAAGTGAAATTTCTTAATTTAAGATCCAGTACTTAGGATTCACTCTTATATAATATTTCTAGATGGATATTTCTCTATACGACTCTGAGTTTATACAATAAAAGTGCAAATTTTCTTTAATGGCAAGTATTTCTAGATAATGATGATAACATAATATAGTTTAAGTCGATCCTCTTTATTTTGAAATAAATTTTTTCGCTTTCTGGTCAAGTAAATTTTGTCATCAATGCCTACAATTTACATACGTGACTTTTTCGTCATCTACGATGCGAACATAACGATGGCAGGCTCGGACGAAAAGTGCAGGTATGCGTTGGTCTGTAGAGAAAAAAGAAAGAAAATATTTAATAATAAGGATTCAAAATTATCGAGATTAAAAAATAGATTAATTAAAAGACACACACACGCACACACATATTTAAAATTTATAAAAATATGAATTTTTGCGATTTCAGAATTTATTTTCCATTTTCCTCTTGATTAAATTACTAAGTCATTAATTATCAATTAAACTACTAAATCATAAATAATTTAAATGCATTTTGGTCAGATGTGCAATCAACGAAAAATAATTTTAAAATCTCTATTCGCCATTCAAACTGATATCAATAATTTATGATTATGATAATTTCAATTTCAACACACATTGCATTATTAATTCACTTTTGTTTCAAGTGTTACTACACGCGTTGTTTAGTCTCACGCAAAAATATGCCAAGGCTCAATCCAAGACTCAAACGGAAGTTAGTATTGTTAGACCACACACTCACATGCCTTCTCATCGAAATCGTGGTCCACGCAGGACGATTGTTGGATGTACAGAGCCGGTTTTAGCGGCCGGCCATCCTGATCCTCTATCTGAACCACCAAACCGTGATTGTTACCGTTGCCATGTGGATTTCGCGGACTCGGTCTCCAGAATCTCAGGCCTTGCCTGACATCCAACGCCAGATGAGCGCCTTCGGCATTCAGAGGCGTCACGACAGAGTCCATCAGTCGTTTCTTTGCTACAGAAATAGCAATTCTCTAAATTCTTTAAATATTCATAGATAAATTTAGCAATTTGTTGAATCATGGGCGTGGCCAGAGAGGGCAGGGGGCTACGCCCCCAAATCTTAAAAAAGAACAAAATTAAAACCGTTTAAACAGACTATGCTTAATGAATATTCACAAGAAATTAATTTTGAAAAAGAAAAAAGAATTGAAGGTGAAAATTATAGAAAGATTTTTTGAAAATCCAAGGCAACTTATAATATTATAAATTTAAATTTTTCCAGTTCTGGAAGAACCAGTTTACAATTTTAAGGGAGAATAAAGTAAATTAAAAATAATAATATAAAACAAGTTCAATAGTCCACACTAACTCGATTATCCCCTTTCTTGCGCCACGTTCAAAAGTCTTTACTCTAATTTGCCCCGCCCCTCTAAACAAAATCTTAGCTACGCCCATGTATTAAACGATTAAATACTTACATCGATGCTTCTTCAGCGATTTGGTATAGTAGTAAACGGACACCCTGATTTTCTTCTCGTCATCTTCTTCCTCGTCAAAGGGGTTCGAGAGCCGATAGTCGGAAGTCGTGACGTTTTTTTGCGGAAATACGTGAAGTCGCAATCTTGCAGCGACAACGTAATCGTCGGAAGTAAGATTTAATTGAAAGTGCATGTTCATCAAAAATGGATCCGTCCATGCTTCAGAATCCGTGTTTCGAGGTATGTGACCTATATAACAAATCGAGCATTCGGTCTAATAAGCAACATCCTTGATAAGTTGAATGCATGATTGCATTCGGAGAACGCGCTATCAGCGCTATTGAGTCATTCTATCATCATCATTCATTAGACATAAAGTAAGAATAGAATAATACAGTACCGCTAATAGCGTGCTTCTCGCGCGAACGCAGACTTTTTTTTTTAAAACGTCAGAAAAGAATAAATGATTAAATTACTCACAAACAGGCGAAAACATAGCAAGTCTCTCGCGTTGAACCTGATTGGTGTTGGTGCTAAGATTGAATCTCCCAGTTATCGCAAGAATTCTCGATTTAATGTCTTCGATCGCCTTCTTCTGGCTCTGACTGCACAGATAGACCAAAGTTTATTAAGCTGCACGGAATACTTAAATATGACATATCACACCAAGCTTTTTTAAATCTTTAATGATATGAAAGCACATCAATTTTAAAGCTTCAAAACGTTAATAGAAAATCTTTATTATATCAATCTCATGCAAAAAATTTTTCAAAAAAGATAAGAATAACGATAAGATTATTTTAAAAAGATAATAAAATGCGAGAGGTTGAGCCGAAATATTTAGAAGTTTCAGAAGGTCGTTTATATAATTGATGCTTTACAAAGAGATTACTTTACAAAGAAGAAGAAGAAGAAGAAGAAGAAGAAGAAGAAGAAGAAGAAGAAGAAGAAGTAAAAGAAGAGAAGAAAAAGAAGAAGAAGGTTGTTCTTTCTCTCTGTAAAGCAATAAAATTTAAAGTAAGTGGCAAGCTTTTTCAAGAGAGACGGAATAATTTGCTCAACCTTAAAAAACCCAAGACCCTAGAAATATTTAAATAAACATTGCAGAGGAACATTTAAAAAATACCCTAAAATTGTAAACTATTAAAATGTTTTTGGACACATTTTATTGGCGTTTTCGAAAAATTTTGTATTTGTATTTAAGAAGAATTAGATTTCGCGATCTAGAAAAGATCATTTCGCTTCATGAATCTAGTGCGGCGGCGCGTCTGTCGGCTTGAGAATTTTCACCTCCAAGTTCCCGGCGAACTCTTCCGGGTGCCGACACGGGCCAATGGACGATGGTCAGTGACCTACAGAGGCACGGTACGGCTCGGAGGCATTTATTACACGTTGCAGACAGCGGCTAGACAGTCGGCGGATACACCGGCACCCCAATCACCTCGACTTTCCGTCTGGTCTCTCGGCGGAACCTTAATTTCTTAAGGCCGCGTCTCGAATCTTAAGTTCATTCTCAAGACGTCTCGACCAGACTCATTTGCATCGCTCGGCCTACAGAAACTTTTTCTTCGGCACTGAACGTCAGTTGTTCGCGTTCGCGTGACTCGAATTTCACTCTTTTTCTCTGATGCGACGTAGCACAACGTGACCCATTGCATCCGCCGCCTCTATTCGGTGCTATTGTAATTTTTAGATTTCACGTTTACAACAAATAAAATTGCGGTCCCATGATTTTCGTCGGTACTGGGACGAGAACTTGTTTATTTGCACGCCACGGCCTCCGAGACTTTCATCACAAGCAGACGGTTGTCGACAGTTTCGAAAGACGACGGCGACCGAGACACCGCACAGGATTGCATAATAAATTTTTAAGTCATTAAGTAACGACTTGTGGAATAGAAAAGAAGAACAATGAGGCGAAAGGAGAAAAGGATGGGCGTCATTTCTCTAACATGATCAAAAAAGACTGCCGTGTTCGAAACGCCCATTCGGGAAGTGTGCATCTTCCACATCAATGACCTCATTGGTTTTTTAATGTCAGAAAAGATGTACTTTCCTGAATAACGGAAAAGAGAAGAAAGGGAAAAAAATACGCAGAAGAGAAGAAAGAGTTAAAAGATAGCAGGAGAAAATAAAAAAAGTAAAATAAAACAAAGAAAGTGAATCTAATAAATAAACTCGAACACAATAAAAGAGAAATAGAGGAAACACAAGATGCAAAAAAATTTTTTTCGTAGTCCATAAATTCTACAAATCTTTTTCAACTTCCTCCATTTCTCCGAAAGGAAAAGATAAATGAGCTGTCATGAAGATTCGAACGCTGCATTTTTTTCGAAGAACCCAAAAATGACAATTAAAAAAGGCAAAATACATATCCATTTTTCATCTTAATTTA